ATCATCATCATCATCATCATCATCATCATCATCATCATCATCATCATCAACGTCATCATCATGATCAGTATCATCATCGCTATTAGCAGCAGCAGCATCATCAGCATCATCATCATCATCATTATCAGCATCATCGACATCACCATCATCATCAAAGTCAACATCATCAACATCATAATCGTCAGCATCATGATCATCATCCTCATCATGATAATCATCATCATCATCATCATCATCATCATCATCATCATCATCATCCGCATCACCATCTGAAACATCATCACCAGCATCAGCATCATCGTCATTACCATCATCATCAGCATCATCAGCATCAGCATCAGCATCAATCATCATCCTCATCATCCTCTTCATCATCATCATCAGCATCATCAGCACCATCATCATCATCATCTGCAGAATCAGCATCATCATCATCAACGTCGTCAACATCACCGTCATCTTGCTCATTAGTATCGTCATCATCATCTCGACCTCACTTTCTGCATCATCAGCATCATTATCTTCGCAATCGTCAACATAATCAACACCATCATAATTGTCATCAGCACCATCGTCATCATCGTAATCGTCATCATCATCGCCATCATCATCATCATCATCATCATCATCATCAGCATCATCATCATCATCATCATCATCATCATCATCATCGTCGTCATCATCATCATCGTGAGCATCGTTCGCATCATTGCCGACATCATTACCATCAACAGCATCATCAGCATCATCACCATCGTCATCAGCATCATCACCGTCATCCTCATTGGTGGCATCGGTAACATCACCATCACACGCACCATCGTCATCAGCCTCATCATCTTCGTCATCATCACCATCCTCGTCACCATCAGCAACATCATCACCATCACCGTCACCAGTATCAGCATCATTATCAGTAGCATCAACATCGTCCTCGTCATCGTGACTGTCATCATCACCATCAACGTTGACACTATCAGCATCCTCATGATCAGACGCCACGCCAGCATCATCATAAAAAATCAGCATCGTCCTCGCTAGCATGGTCAGCGACATCCGCATCCCCACAGCCACCAAAACCAGCATCATCGTTATCATCAACAGCCTCATCATCAAAATCATCATCATCAGCAGCATCATCACAATCATCAGCATCACCCTCAGTTGCAGCAACAGCAGCCGTAAGCATCAGCATCCAAATCATCATCAGCTGCATCATCATCATCAGCAGCATCATCATCGCCATCATCAGCAACAGCAGCATCAGCATCATCGCCATCACCACCACAGCGCCGCCACCACCATCATCATAATCATCAGCAGAAGCAGCAGCAGCATCACCATCACGACCACCATCATCGACATCACCATCAGCCTCATAGCATCTTCAGCCACCACCAACATCATACCAACCACCATCATCATAATCATCGCCATCATCATTACCGTCAGCCTCATCATCATCATCATCATCATCATCATCATCGTCATCGTCGTCAGCATCGTCAGCATAATGATCATCCGCATCGGCATCACAAGTATCATAATCGGGATCATCATCATGATCCTCATCATCGTCGTCATCACCATCAGCATCATCATCACCAACAGCAGCATCATCATCAAAATCATCAAGATCATCATCAGCATCGTCGTCGTCGGTCCTCATCCGCCACCGTGCCCCATGGCGCGATGAGGCATGGAAGACGGTCAAGGTTTGCCAGGCAGGGTCTTGGGAATTACAATGGGGAACCGCCCCTCCCTCCACTAGCATACTCCTGCGTGCATCGTCCCTCCTCTCCGAGGCCCCGTCCCCCCGTGTCTGCCCGAAGTTGGCACACCCCTAGCAGGACAGCTAATCGCTAAACCCCTATTCCACGCATTCCCGCTGGAGGATGGTCCACTTCCCACGTGGCAGCCAGTGCCTGAACCCTTATTACATGCGCGCCCGCTCGAGGACTGTGCACTTCCCGCATGGCTGCAAACGCCTAGACACATCATCACACGCGGGCCCGCTCGAGGTTCGTGCACTTCCCGCATTCTCATGTGCTGCTCCCACGCACGCCAGGGCCTCCCAAACCACAATCCTCGGTTAAAAACGATGTATATGCGCCCCGAGCTTGCTCGAAGACGGCCCAAGATGGTCACAAGGCGGCCGAGATTGATTCAAGACGGCCCGAAATGGCGACCGAAGGACATTCAACATGGTCCGAAGACGCCAAAGTCAGTGAGTTTCCGCAAGTTGTTGGAGGCATGTTCGGGCTGTCGTCAGCCCGAGACGGTCCAAGAGGACTCCACGTTCGCCCAAGGAGAACCCAAGACGACCCGAAGCGGACGAGAGGGGTTCCCTTGGGACGCAAGACGGCCTTGGAAGGCCCTTCGACAGCACAAGACGGCCCCACGACGGCCCCCAGACACCCACGATATGGCCAAGAGGGCCCCAAGACGGCTCAAGGCAACCCCAAGCTGGCGTAAGAGGGACCCACGACGGCCCAGCGGG